GACATAAAACTATAAAAATTCTTAAAGCACATAAAGGAGAAAATCTTTTTGATCTTGGGTTAGGCAAACGTTTTTATATAGGACATAAAAAAGATAAACTATAAAATACAAAAGTGATTTTATGTCATCAAATTGAAAAGATCTCTTCCAAAGACACTAAGAGAATAAATGGACAAGCCACAGACTAGGAGAAAATTTTGTAAAGCACATATTTGATAAAGGAATATACAAAATCATATATATATATAAATTTTAAAATATACAAAAGGAATTTATAAAAATAAATCTTTCAAAAATAAAACAAAAAATTGTCTAATGGTTGAGAGTTAGAGACATCATCTAAGAAGATATGTGGAGGTCAAATAAGCACTTGAAAAGATGCTCAATATTATTAGTCATTAGAGAAATGCTAGTTAAAACCACAATGAAATACTATTACATATGCATTAGAATAGGTGAAGTTTTTACAAACATAATACCACATTATGGCAACAGTGCTGAACAATTGGAACTCACATGCATTGCTGGTGGAATGCAGAATGGTGTAGGAACTTTGGAAAACAGTATGCCAGTTTCTTATAAAGTTAAACATACGCCTACCATACAAACTAGCAATCCCACATTGGGTATTTAGTTAAGATAAATGGAAACATGTGTTCACTCAGAAATCTGTATGGAAATGTTGATAGCCGCTTTATTTGTAGTTACCTGTACCTTGATGCAATCCAGATGTCCTTCACGTTGTAAATGCACAAACAACTGTGATATATCCATAGAAGATATTAGCAATAAAAAGGGTGAACTACTTATACACCCAACAACATAGATGAATTTCAAATGCTAAATGAAAGAAATCAGATTTAAAAGGCTGCATACAATATGATTCTATCTGTATACCATTCTGGAATGTGCAAAACTATAGGGACAGAAAACAGATTAGTGTTTCCCAGGAGCTAGGGATAGGAGAAAGGGATTGCTAGAGGAACACAGGAGAAGTAACTTTTTAAAAAGCCACAGGGTAGCCCTTGCCAGATCACTCAGTTGGTTGGAATATCATCCTGTGCACCAAAAGGTTCTGGGTTTAATTCCCAGTCAGCCCATACCTAGGTTGCAGGTTCAAGCCCGGGTCAGGTCGCTTACAGGAGGCAACCTATCAATGTTTCTTGCTCACATCGATGTTTCTCTTTATATATATATATCTATCTCCCTTTCCCTCTTTCTAAAATCAGTAAACATATCCTCAGGTGAGGGTTTAAAAGAAAAGTCACAGGGTAATTTCCAAAGTTAACTCGTGTGTGTGTGTTCATGAACACAGATAAGTATGCATGTTCTAGCTAATTTTAAGTACCTATTGGGAAATACCTCTTTTTAAAATTTTTTGTTATATATTATAAAAAAGAAAGATAAAAGAAGTGTGTGTTTATTGTTATTTAGAAAAGAAGAAATTAATTTTTACTTTGTAAATCTGAATGAGAAAGCCTATATTAATTTCAAAGGTTCATGTTCCATAACTTCTTTGGAGACATTTGAACTTTTATTACTGTTAATTTTAGGTTGTTAGAAATTGTTTCCTTTGTGATTAATTCCACCCTAAACCATATTGATGCTACTTTGTCCAATTTGGGGGGCTTCAGTTTGCCCTCTGACCTCACTTCTCTGAAAAATCTAAGAAGAGTTGTTGATTTTTTGGTTTGTTTAGATTTTTACTTGTTAGGATGGAGTAGCAACTTCTAAGCTCCTTACTTGACATTTCTGCAACAAAGATACACAAATGGTGAACAAGCAAACGAAAAAACGGTTGCCATCCTTAGTCATCAGGGAAAATCAAATCAAAGCCTCTGTGAGATACCACTTAACACCTACCCAGATGGGTAGGACCAAGAAGCTGGATAACAAGTGTGGGCAAAGCCATGGAGAAGTTAGAACCCCTTGAACACTACTGATGGGAATGTAAGCAGATCTAGCTGCTTTGAAAAGCAATCTGGCACTTCTTCAAATGATCATAGAATCACCATGTGGCTTAGGCATCCAGCTCTTAGGTTTATACCTGAGAGGAACGAAAATATATGTCCACACAAGAACTTGTACAGTATCTGAATGTTCTTAGCAACGTTATTCATAAAAGCCAAAAGTTAGAAACAATCAAAATATATGTTAACAGATAAATGGATAAACAAAATGTTGCATATTCACATAATGAAATATTTTTGAGCCTTAAAGAGGGATAAAGTACTGCCCTTGCCAGTGTTGCGCAGTGGTTAGAGTGTCGGCAGGCGCACTGAAGGGGCTTGAGTTCAATTCCAGGTCAAGTGCATGTACCTGGGTTGCAGGTTTGATCCCCAGCCCCGGTCAGGGCACATGTGGGAGGCAACCCATCGATATGTCTCTCTCGCATCGATGTTTCTCTCTCTCTCTCTACCCCTTCTCTTCCTCCCTTCCACTCTACAAATCAGTGGAAAAAATATCTTCTGCTGAGGATTAACAACAACAACAAAGGGATAAAGTACTGATACATGTTACAACATGGATGAACCTTGAAAACATTATGCTAAGTGAAAGAAGCCAGTCATTATATACTAGTGTATACTATATACTATGTGATTCCATGTATATGGGAGTTCAGAATAGGGAAATCTTTAGAAAGAAAATAGATTAGTGGTTACTTAGGGCTGGGAAGGCAGGGCAGCGGTTAAGAGAGTGATAGCTGCCCTGGCCAGTTTGTCTCAGCAGTTAGAGCATCAGCCCGTGGACTGAAGGGTCCCAGGTTTGATTCCACCCAAAGGCACATATCCCCGGCCCTGGTCTGGGCACTTGTGGGAGGCAACCACTCAATGTGTCTCTCCCACATCCATTTCTCTCTTTCTCTCTCCTATGCTCTGAAAAAGCAATGGTAAAAACATCCTCAGGTGAGGATTAAAAAACAGAGAGTGACAGCTAAAGGATACAGGAGTTCCTCCTTGAAATGCTGAAAACACTCTGATACTTACCTCGGTGATGGTTGTGCTATCTGTGAATCTATTAGAAACCACTGAACTGTGTATACCTTAATTGAGTGAATTGTATGGCCTTATGAATTATATCTTTATAAAGCTGTTAAATAAAAAGAGATTAGGAAATTCCATAAAATATATATAGTAACCATCAGACTGAAGAGCAAGAGACCAAGTGTTTACAGGGGGCACTCTTCCAGCCCTCCCTGCCCCTCTCATTTCCCTTTTGCGCTCCCAACCTGGTGGGGGTTCAGCGGCATGTCATGCTGCGGACACTATTTAGAGTCCTTGCCACCTCTAGTGGCCTGACTCAAGCTGGATGAGAAGGGGGGGTGGGAGAAAGGGTTTCTCCAAACCATGGCTCATAGGGGCATGGGGCTTGCAATCAACCAGTGGTAAATCACCCAGGAGGCAACAGAAGCTTCTCTCAGTAGTACACTCTCTCGTGGAGGGGTGAAGAGACCTCATCGTTACAGGCCTGGGGCTGGCATGTGAGATTAGGTTGCTCTGATTTCAGAACATGCCTGTGTTTCTGGAGCAGGGCTATCGGTGCCCTGCAGAAGGCAAGCGAGGCCTATGGGGGCCTGTTTAAAGATACCCGTGTGCTGTCTGTGCCAGTGGAACAATTGTGCTGTAAGACCGTCGCCAAGCATGTTGTCCACCTGCTGAATGTGTCACATAGATAGAGAGTGTGCTTAGAACCCATTCTAATGGAAAACATTTCATTCTCAACCACCCTCTCCCGCCAAACCCAGTCTCTTTTCCCATCATTGGTAATTCTGAACATTAGATTTTTTTTTAACCATGATGTCAAAATGTACCTAAGTATATGATTGTAAATGGTAAAATAGGTGACAGAATTGGGTATTGGCAAATATTTTTTCATTTTCGTTAGTGTGTGTATTTTTAATATAAATATGGGCCTATAAAACATTAAAGTAAAAATATTTCAGTGAACAAGTTTCAGTAATTTATAACAATTATAAACCTATTGAATTTTCTTATAATGCTAACAGTTTCTTTTTAAACAAGTAAATTTATTGATGACAACTGAATGGTGTCTATCATTTTATAATACTGTAGCTCCATTCAGGCACTGTAAATTCTACATGCAAGTACATGTTTTAAATGTTGTCTGTACTACTCAGTATTTTGCTATCAAAATACATGTAATTTTTAAACTTGCTAACATGAAAATTCATGTTAACAACTTTCAACTTTCTCAAGTTGACACCTGTTGTGCTAAAATACCACCAAAATCCCATTACAATTATAGTTATTTAATTGTTAATATTAGTAATGATAATACAGCCTAACAAGAATTTTCCCCTTGTTAATTATTCTCTAACAGCTAAGGTTTAATATGGGCCCTTTGAAGATGATTGGGATTTTGTGGAGAAGTGTTTGGGTTGTCGCAATGATAGGGGCATATTTTCAGACCAGCTGTCCTAATGCTTAAGTTTAGTAGATCCACAAGCTCTAAATATTTATACTTCGGTCTTAACACCTGCCCACAGTGCTTGACGCTTCCAACTCCTGATCTCAGAGGTCTAGAGAAGTTACCTTTTGCAAGCATTTTAAGTTGTAGCCCCCTTTTGTTTTGTTTTGTTGTTTTGACATTTCCTTTGCTGTCCATGTGCATAGTATCCCCGTCTAGAGGGTGTGGAGATGGGTTAGGTGTTTGGCTGTTGACCGGCTGGCGTACTGGCGGCTCGTGCCTCGTCTGCTGAACACACTGCTCGGCCCGGGTGAGCCCACCCAAGATGCCAGGGGCCGTCGGGTTCCAGTTCGCTCCAGCCTTGCATGAACTCAGTGTAAACAGTACGTTTAGACACTAATATTTTCTATTGCTGAGAGTTATGTGATCTTACTCCTGACTATTTCTCAAGCTGAGCTTTTTGAAACTAATTTGCATTCAATAGCAACAGTATAAGCAGTGCCATGTCGGATAAATTGTTTTCTCACTCTAGCATTCAGCTTTGCTACCAGTTTTCTTCTTCATATTAACAGATATTTTGGTAAAAGGCCTCAGTGGGATTGTAGAGGGGCGTCAAATCTTAATGAACTTCATCAGTTATTAAGTGACATAATGATTAGAAGGCTAAAGACTGAAGTTTTAACCCAGCTGCCCCCTAAAATCAGACAGCGTATTCCTTTTGACCTTCCACCAGCAGCAGCCAAGGTGAGAACCCTTGTTTGATTGAAATTCTTATTTTAAATCATTTTAAATTATACTAGGAAAGATTGTACATATTTCATATTTTACAGAAGGAAAAGTCTGCTTTCTTAAAATAGGTTTAATTAATAGAGCATATGAATCGGCTTTGTATTATTTCAAGAAGCGAGCAGGAAGAATTTAACTTTAGTCATATAATGTGAAAAGATTCAGTATCCTTGTGATTAAAAAATATATTTCTGCTGAATATAGAAAAAAAGTACTTTAAGTACAACAAAGATTTAGTACTAAGAATTCTAAGTATCTGTAGGGTATGAAGCAAGGGAAGTCATGTTTCTTTCTCTAGGATTTTTTTTAAAGTATGAATAGCTGTCCTCTAAAATAACTTAGATACAGCCCTGCTCTTGAAATCTTAAAACTCTGTGATCATGTGAGATATGAAGTTAAACATATCAAAAGCCAAATTGCATTTTAGCAAACCTTTATGTACATTTTGAGTAGTGCAATGCTGATATATTCTCTGAAATTTCTTCAAATCTGGACATAATTTTGTTGACAAACACTATTTATTGCATTATTTTATTTTTAAATCTTAGAGTAAGCATTTTGTAAATATTGAGCAATATGTTATTGAAAAAATAAGAATGATCTAATTTCCTTTACCCACTATTTTAGCATTAGAAAGAAAAATAAAAGAATATATGATTATATTGTATTTTTATTTAATTAACATCCCCCATGTCTTTATGCTTTGTTTTATTTAAGTAAGATCATATCTTTTTATAAAAATGCTTTGCTACCATATACATTTTCATTATCCTGCTTTCTTATGTATTTAAATTTTTATGTTTACTTTATAAAATGTTTCCCCTTAAGAGGAAGCTACAGTTGTTTGATTTATGATGTTAGCAAAGGGCTTGGTGTTCACCCACAGCTTGTCATTAGTTTCTGTCATTGGTGTGAACATGTGACTGGCCTGCCTCCATGTTGATGTTTTTAAGTGAACACATTGGCATCTTTGGGAATTTTCTTTTTATATCTTTATATATAAAAAAGAAGGTAGGACATGATTCATTGCTGTATTAATTGTTCTGTTCTTTATGCTGCATGTCTAAATGTTGTTATTTTCTCCCACATAGGAATTGAATACCAGCTTTGAGGAATGGGAAAAATTAATGAGAGCTCCAAATTCCATTGCCACTGAGACTATTATGGGATTGATTACTCGCTTGTTTAAACAAACTGCTATTGCCAAGGTACTCTTTGCTGGGCCATCAAGTGTGTGTCTTGATACAAATTATTTAATGTTTTTTAATGTTTTGACTTAAACAGCTTAATTACATATTGTACCATGTCTGCCATTTTATTTTTTAATTCTCTCTTTTAATTTAGGTCTTCTTTAATTTCTCCCAGCAATGTTTTCAGTTGTCTTGAATATATTTTTTTTAGATTTATTTCTTTGTATTTCATGTCCTTTTATGCTCTTGTAAGTAGCATTTTTTTAATTTAAATTTCTACATTCTTATTGTTAAATATAGAATTATTGATTTTTGTATATTGACCTTTCATCCTGTGACCTTGCTAAACTCACTTATTAGTTCTTATGCTTTTTTGTAAATTCTGTGGGATTTTCTACGTAGAGCATCATTTTGTCTGCACATAAAGACACTTTTGTTTCTTCCCAGTAATAATATGTCTTTTATTTGCCTTGCCCGTCACACTGAAGGAACACGGTGCAATTTTGACTAGAAGTGACAGGACTGAACAGCCTTGTCTTGTTGCCAGTCTCAGGTGAAAAGCATTCAGTTTTTCACTGTTAATTACGATGTTGTCCTTAAGTTTTTCATAGGTGCCCTTTCGTAGATTGAGAAAATTTCCTTCTTTTCCTCGTTTGTTGAGAGGAGAGATGAGACATATAAAAAAAGGTTTTTTTTAAGATCTGAGCTAGGAAGGAGGTGGCTTCCATAAAAATGGATAAGAAGAACACAGCCGAAATTTAACAAAATTAGTTAATATATGGTGACAGGAGAAGATATGACTTTGGGTGGTGGGCACACGGAGCAATATACAGAACTTGTAACATAGAAACCCACACCTGAAACCTATATGTTCATAGTAACCATTGTCACTCCAATAAATTTAATAAAGTGTTTTGAAAAAAAGAAATTTAACAAAATTATAAAGGCTGAACATGGATTGTCATGACAGTTCAAAATGTTGGGGGTTCTGACACAGGCATTTCATCCTCACACACAGCTTTATTTCCATTGGCCTCTACCTGGTGCTGACTAGGAGATCAGAGGGCACCTGCATTGGTGGAGTATAAGCATAATTCCCTGCTTATTTCCAGAACTCTTTTCACATATTAAGCAAAAGCCTTAAGCCATTGTGGGAGAGACAAAAACCCCTCTCCAGCAGCCAAAGCCCAGTTCAGGATCAGCTGCTTCTGGGGGCTGAGTTGAAACAACAGCTGTCTACAGCTGGGGATTGGGCAGGAAAGCCTATTGAAATCAAGACCTTGCACTTGACAGAGATCTGTTACCGCAGGAGGAGGGGCAAGAACACTCTCCTGCCCAGGAGCACTCACAGCTATAAGACATAGTTTAGTTGCCATGGGGGAAAGGGGCAGAGACATCAGGAAAGTCCCATCCCCAAGACTCAGCTGGAGCAAAGGGCCTGCCTTATACTGAGTCAGTACCAGGAGACCCAAGAGGTCCCTTTCCCCCTACCATGAACTTAACACTGAGAAATCATCAAGGTCAATCTACTGGTGGAGAGAGACACCTATTTATAGTGCAGGCATGCAGGGACTGATGAAAGCTAAGGATACAGCTGAAACACGTAGGAAAACCCTTGGTACACACTATCACAAGGTAGGAAAATTCAAAATTCCATTTTGTGGTGCACTGAAGGTAAATGTCATAAGAAAACCTAAATATTACTTAATACTAACTAGATTGTCTTAGTTTCTCCCATACAGTTACCCTGACAGAAAAAGAAGCATGCCCATTTCTGGATGTAAGCATCATTTATCTCAGTCAGTCCTGTTCTTCTAGACATAATTTCTAGCATTAAATAGAAATTATGAAATAAAAAATAAATTTTAAAAAATCCAGTTAAAAGATAAAGCAATCAATAATGCCAATTGGAAAAATGACCCAGATTGTAGAACCATTACACAAGGAATTTTTTAAAAGCTGTGAATAATAAAGGATGTAGTAGAGAAAATAAACAACAGACATGTGTATATCTGATAACTAAAACTACTTACTAAAACTTTTTATTTAGAAAACAGAAAGGGAACAAATACTTCCCAAATAATTTTGTGAATCCAGGATTACCCTGATACCAAGAACAGACAGACACGTCATGAGAAAACTACAGGTCAATCTTTCATGAATGTGGAAATCCTTAACAAAATAGTAGCATATCAAATTCACCAATATGTAAAAAAGTACACCAACAATACAAGATTTGTTTACCATTGGATTAATTAATCACTGTAATTCACCACATTAATGATGTAAAATGGAAAACCATATGATTATCCCAATCATATGACATAATTTTACATCCATTCATAATAAAACCTCTTGGCAAAGTAGGACTAGAAAGGGACTTCCTGATTCCAGTAAAAAGCATTCATGAAAAGCGTACAATTAATAACATACTTAATGTTCAAAGACTAAGTGCTGTTCCCCTGAGATCAGAAACATGACAAGAGACTGCTCTCCCCACTTTTGTTCAGCATTGTTTGATTCAACATTCTCTTATAACTGTGCAATAAGGCTAGAAAAAGAAATAAAAGGAATGCAGATTGAAAAGGAATAAAATTGTCTATATTCACAGACAACCTGATGGTCTACATAGAAAGTCCAGGAACAGTCAAGCTACTAGAACTAATGAGTGAATTATCAAGGTTGCAGGATTCATGTTCAATGTATAAAAATCATTTGTAGTTCTGTATACTAACAATGAAAAATTAGAAATTGAAATTTTAAAAATACAATTTACAATATCATTAATAAACATGAACTACTTTAGGATAAATTCAAGAAAATATATGCACTGAAAACTATAAAACATTTTTTAGCGAATGTAAAGCAAACTTAAATAAATAACAAGATAGGTCATGTTCACAAATCAGAAGATTCAGTACTGCTAAGAGGCCAGTTCTCTATAAATTAATCTATATATTCAGTGCAGTGCTAATCAAAATCCCTGTAGTCTTTTTTTGTAGAAATTGACAAGCTGATGTAAAATTTATGAGGCAACACAAAGGACTTGCTATAGCCAAAATAATTCTGAACAAAGTTGGAAGACTCACAGCACATGATATAAATAAATACTTACAATAAAGTTACAGTAATCAAGACTTCGTGGTATTGGCATAAGGAGAGACATTTATATTAATGAACCAGAAAGTGAGTCTAGAAATAGACCTTTACATAGATTATCAATTGCTGTTAGGAAAGGGGATAACTGTCAATAGGAAAGGGTCGTTTTCAACAGCATTAGAACAGTTGGTTATCCCTGCGGAAAACAATGAGCCTTAACTATTATTTCACACTATATATAAAAATTAACTTGCAGTAGGTCAAAGACATAAATACAAGCTAATTTATAAAACAAATTTTAGATAGGATATAAACTTTTTTATTATTTAATACATACTTTTTATTATTTAACTTAATGAGGTAACATTAGTTAATAACATTATATAAATTTCATGTGTACAACATTATAATTCAACATCTGTAAAAGCACGTGCTTTAAAAGGAAAAAATGAGAGTCAAAACTAAAACTTTTGGTGGTTACAAAAGTATGATGTATGAAAGGCACTGTTATAAAAATAAAAATGCAAAATACAGATAAAGTATTTGTGACACATTCAGAATCCCTGCTTCATTTTCCCATATCATAATTTTTATCATAATTTTTGTTTTGATCAGTGTTCATTGTTTACAGTATAATTACTCAGTTAAACATTTCACAGTTGACTATAATTACATTTCTTTTTTTTACAGTTGTTTTTCATAGAGTTAATAGCTATCTTGTTTTTTGTTTGCTTGCTTGCTTAACTTTCTTTGCACTTAATACTGAGTACAGAATGCTTGTTTAAGGGGAAATAATGTATATGAGAACCTTGTATATAATTTCCTGTCTGCGATAGGAAACCCTTGTTGGAAGTAAGTGTTGATAGTCAGTAGGAAGTTGGTAGCTAATTCCTAGGATTCTCGAAGGACTAGAAAAGATGAAAAATCAGTTAATCTAGATTGGAACATGTTCCCAAAGTTTAATGGCAGCAGAAGACCAGTCCTTGCCATCCCAATTCCCTAATTTTTAGTCATTTTTCATTCCCTCCCTATCAGAACCTGTCCTGAACCACTTACATCAACTGGAACAATATACTGTGCTTCTATTCCTGGGCTGCAGCTAGAAGGAATTAGTTCATGGCATTACGAAGCTGGAATTCTTCATACATTTCCCCCAGAAACATTTTTGATATCCAGCTGTTAGAGTCTATGGTAACTGTAAACAATACAGTTTAGCTACTTTATAGATGAAATAGAGTTGGGGGAAGGTAGCTAATTATCAGCTATGTTTAATATTGTTTTTGTGAGAAAATGTGTTCAGAGTTCTCCCAAGCCAGTTTGTAAATGAACTTTTGCAATACTACAGATTATAAATTGTTATATGCAAATTAGTATTGAAGATTACTTTATTTAGCTGTTTTCCTGACTAATTCAACAGATACTTATTGAGTGCCTACTATGTGGCAAGGGTACAGCTTGGTGCCAGGGAGGCATAGTGAACAAGATATAGTGTCTACCTCTCAAAGAATCTTAGTGTGTTGGGGAAGATAGCAAAATAAATGTGCAACTGTAGAAATTTAGTGCTTCAAGCTGTGGAAGCACATGGGAGAAGACACCTGGCCTCCTCTTGGGGGTGGGGGGGGCGTTCAGGAAAGACGTCCCAAGGAACGGGACATAAGATTTAGGAACCAAAATTGAGGGGAGTGAAATAGGAAGGGGGTGGTGCTGATGGAGTATATTTCAGATTAATAGTTTTTACAAACTCACAAAAATTAACCAGCAACTGCATATTTAGAGAACCAAAAGTAGGTAATCATGGCTAAAACATAGAATGTCAGGGAGGAATTTTGAGAGAGACTAGGCTGGAGGTTATAGAGAGCAGCTCATAGGCTCATAGTTTGTAACTTTTCCTCAGGGTTTTGAGTGATCTGATAGAGTGG